CTTTTTATTATATATATATATATATATATATATATATATGTGTGTGTGTGTGTGTGTGTGTGTGTGTGTGTGTGTGTGTATGTATATATTTATCTTCCAGTCAATGGAGTGTATCAGTGTGCCCGATGTGCAGTCGGCACCATGTGTCCTGGAGACGGCAGAGCGTACACGTGTAACAAAGACGCGGATGAATCCAGCAACGCACTAAGAACCAACTGTGTCAAGGTAAGTTGATTTTTGTCTGTTTTCTAGTAGGTTTCTCTTTATAGGATAAAGGATTTTCAGAATGGGGCTGGGTGAAAATGTATTATGTTTATATGCCATTAATGCTCAAACCGTCAGCGTTTTGTAATAATTTGCCCAAGTTTGGTCGACAAGTTCATGCATTTATGTTGTTCTGTTAACTCCTTGAAAGACGAAATGAACAAGGGATAAAATGTTCCATTGCTATCTCATAGGTTGGGCCTTGGCTAATTTGGTATATTTTTCATTAACCCTATCCCACACGGTACGTAATCATAATTTTTTCCAGTGTCCTACATCCTTACCGTACTCTACAATACCCGTCAGTAACCGGTGTCACAACTGTCAGCCAGGTTACTACAGAAAACCTTCAGACAACTCTTGCAGGCGTGAGTATATTTGAGCTTAATGAAGTTTTTACGCCTTTTGACACATCTCGCAGGTTTTGTTTCTCGTTATGGTTATATATAGTAGGTAAAGAGAACGGTGGAACACAAAGGATACCTAATTTTTTTCTAGATTTTCTTTTCATTTGTCTTGCAGGCGTAAAAATACAAGGCACACATTTCATTTTTGTCTTTGTGACATTTAGGCAGCAGATTTAGAGGACGGTAAAACACAAAGATGTGCAAAAGCTACATGTAGTGGGCTCCGCAAAATTTCATTCATTTATGTATAACTATTTATATGCAACTATAAGCGGTTATATCATTTCTTTCATTGACAGCGGTCACCCTTTTAATGACTAAACATGTGTCCTCGTATATTATCGCATATATTTTGCAATGTGGGCACATGTATTTCATTAGGCTGTCCTACAAACACCGGTGGTCCCAACTGTAAAGTACAGTGTAAGTGTACGAACGGCAGGTGTATCCAGAAGACTGGCAAATGTTCCTGTTACCGAGGTTTTAGTGGTGACAAGTGTGAAATTCCATGTGAGTTTGAAAAACTTTTTGTATTTTATGTATTTTAATTTTTGTATTTTAAAGTTTAAACTTTTTGGTATTATATACTACTTTTCCAAGATTTGGGCATGAATTTTTGTTTTTAAGTGATGTATGTATCCAAATTAAATCTTAAATCTTGCGACGATGAGAAGATTTTAATTAAATTATCAACTTTGTTGTTATGGGTTTAAAGAAAATCATTCTCTTCTATACGATGGTAGTGACGCTCAATGGTATCTGCAAGGTAATATCATTCACGTCAATATCATTCACATCTTTAGTTATATCATTTTCATCGCTGACGTTTAGAGCTGGAGAAATAAACTATACATTTCAGCCCTGTATCATCGTTGTCTTTTTTCAGCTGAAGGCGCTTTGAGACTAGTGGACAGCCGATTCAAAGCAAACAGAATTTTGTTCCACGAATTGGCAACGGCACTACACAGTCTGCAAGTGGATCAGCCTGCAGCCAACCTGGCCCCTCTTGCCGCCGTCCCCATCACCACTACGACTGCTGCTCCTATATCAGCAAACCCAGATAGTCAATTTATTCGTAGACGAGGACGCCGAAGGCGGCGCACTTCACTTCAACTCCAACCCGCTCTCCAGGTGGAGCCACTAGCCGAGGAACGTCTTGTAGATTCTTCTGTGAGGCAGTATGAGCTGGCAGACCGACAGTTGTCTCTGGCAGCCCAGCAACCGTCCCTGGCAGACCACGTGTCAGCGACTGAGAGCGTCAATATTCTTAGTGCGGCAACAAGTGGCGGCAAACTGGAAGGTTAGGCTTTGTTTTACATCTGCAGATAAGCTAAATGTTGTTTTGCGTTAATAATTGCTTTTTTGACGGTGTGTAAGTTCACCAGTAGCGCGTGGTATACATCGTGCATTTTTTATTTAAAAATTGAATTGTAAATGCCATAGTAAAAAACGAGTACTTGCATTTCATTTACACCAAACCGACTATCTGGGTTTGACATTTAGAAAGATCGGGCGAATTTTGATAAGCATTTATTGTTTGTTAATATATTTTGAAAGTCTATGTTATTGTTAAAATAATCAAAATCTTCACGATCATGCCTGTCTTGTTTGTTTAGGACGCGTTGAAATCTTCCACAATGGCCAATGGGGATCTATCTGTGACAGCGCGTGGACTGACGCCGATGCCAAAGTGGTAAGCACTGGTCACTTCTAACTATTTGTTGTTCAGTGATAAATTGAAGTTCATATAAAATTGGCCACTCATTGTCGTGTAATAACGGTAATATGGATGGATTAATATGGCAACCGCAATGGCTACATCGAATTTCATGTACACCTGATTTATTATTAAATTTATGCTAACATGTCCTTAGTTGACAGGTAGTTAATTCTCTATGGCCATATTTACCTGACCATGCTATCCATCGTTCTCGTTTTAAAACAGGCTTGCAAACAGTTCGGCTACAACAATGGTACCGCTAAATCCAACGCCTACTATGGCCAAGGCAGTGGGTATATCTGGCTGGGTAAAGTGCAGTGTACAGGCGCTGAGAGGTGGCTGAAGGACTGCAGACACGGGCTGTGGGGGAGGCACCTGTGCGATCACAGCGGTGATGTTGGTGTTGTGTGTTCTCACTCGTGTAAGTATTTAGATGGATATAAAAGTAGGTAAATCGTTTTCAAATTAAAGAGACTGTACGTGTTTTTTACCGATGGAGGAGTGACTTTTTCACCCTTTCTTTCTCAAAGGGTCTTGCTCGTCGTTTTCAGATAATATCTACTATGTACTAGTGCATAGATTCCCATCTCCTGTTATATTGTATTGAAACCTGTTATAAGCACCCTGAGCTTTAGAGATAACTTGACACTAACCTCTTCACTATAGCCTATCTTCATCGTGTCAAGTTACCTCTGACGAAAATAGTTTGACCTAGTTTATATAAGCCAATCGAATCCATGTTTCAAAATTTTTCACCAAAGTTTGGTGAAAACGCTGATTGGTTGACCGTCAATCGGCAATCCTCGGCTGATTCCGCAAGCTCCATACTAACAACATAGTTATTGTCGAGTGCGGAGACATCCGAGTAGTTCCGAGTGCATAACCATACACAAAGAAAGCATGGAGTATATCGGAATTGAAACCAGAGCAGTTTGATGCCCTGCATAATTATCTACTGAGGGATGATGTATTTTGCGTGCTGCCCACAGGTTACGGCAAGTCCCTGATATTCAGCCTTATCTTTGATTGGTCCGGATTTGAACAAAGCGCGCTTTGACTCGTTCGCGTTCATTGGCTAGATCGTTCAATGAGTCATTGAGTGCGGGCTTTAAATTTGATTGGCGGGCGGCGGAGGCAATCGAATGTGGTCAGAGGTAACTTGACACGATGAAGATAGGCTATAGTGAAGAGGTTAGTGTCAAGTTATCTCTGAAGCTCAGGGTGGTTATAAGTTGTTTGTTTTGAAATATTTGTTATTGCTTTATAACGTATTTTTTTACAATATATATATATAACAGCACATTTCGTTACTTTTTTCCAGTGACAAGAAACTTTGGTCGCCTATTGGCACAAGAAAGCCTGCAGTTTGCTGCTCGAACAACCAATTCAGAACTGAGACAAGACTTTTAGCTTTTCTATTTTTATGAAACAGTTCATATAGAGAAAGGAAATCATACGTATACTCAATATCCGCAATACAAATGACATTTGGACTGATATCAGTGGTGTTTTAACGTGAACATGTAAATATAAACGTGTGATTTATTAATAAATGTTTTTCCAGTTAATTGATATTTCAAAGGAGAATACAGTTTATTACAAATAATATGAATTAAAACTCATGACAGGAAATCATCAAATAAGTAGGCCTACTACGCGTGCTCATCGGGCAATCGGACCAACGTATATTTTAACGTTTCTCGACTGGTTCGTTTAACTATAAGATGGTTAGAGACACCCTCTGATAATACAGGGGCGTCTGATATAGCACACAAAATTGAAGAAAAGACCATTTTGTAACAGACTACTCGCGGACCCTGTGATCAACTAGTAGCTAAGAGAGATAATGGCTAAGATCCCACATGAATAATGTAGAAAGAATCTCCATTCGTTAGTTTCCCACAAAATACATCACGGTGTAGTGTTATTAAAATGGAAGCAATCATGTACAGGGAAAACTTCCAAGGCAAGTATTTCAAGTTTCCGGGATGACGAATTTCAGATATACAAAATTGTATGCCTTCTCACTGATTATCTTAAGTGAGAAATTGGAAATAAGGTAGTCCAGAATCAGACTCATAGATAAACTAAACCCTTTAGCGAAAGATCGTCACGACACTGGCCCCAATACAGGGTTATCTAAGGCGAATAGGTCAGTTAAAATCTTCGTTACTAGGTTCAAACCATTCATGTTGAGTTTCTAGAGTTTTAGGTCAAAATCTAGGATTGGGTGACGTAACAGCACTATCACGAGTACCAATTTACGACATCATTTACGTCATGAGTTAGGTGATACAGGAGAAATTAATCTACTAAACATTGCCATCGTCAGTATTTTTCACTTTAAACGGAATACAAATAAACATATATATATATAAATGGACATGCTCGAATTGAAACAATTTTGTTTGTCTCTGAACAGAAGTTTTTCAACCAAAATTGAAATGCACGTGCATTCATATTTATTTAAAATATCTATGCAAGGTCTGGAATTGATTAACAAATAAATGTATTAGTTCTCTGTATTACAAGTTTTCCTTATTTGCAGTCAAAGTGGTACGATTATACTTTTGAAACAAAACGCATGTATAATAAAACAACAAGTAAAATAATTGCAACTTACTGTTTATGTATCATATCAGGAAATACAGTCAAAATGACAGAATAAACCGGTGTGCCATAAATTCTACATTACGGCTAAAAAAAGGTTACTTAAACAAATTAGCGAAAGTGTTACTCTTGGTGACCATATCGACCAAGGCGGCCAGTTCCTTGGAGACCACGCTGCCGTCAGTGTGTACTGGGAAGATAGGATAGGTTTGGCGGACTCTGCCCCGTACTCCAGGTATCTCGGGGAAAACGAACCTCTGACCGCTGGCGCGTACAGACCTGACGGTTCCTTTAGCGTCCAAGACACCCTTGATGGGGTCTTCAGGGGTCTGCGGGTAAAGAAAACCCCGTATAAACACAGCTGCATGTATTAATGATACAAACTCAGGCCAATAATAAGTATTTGTCACACGGAGATATCGATGAATGAAACTGGAAATGCCATGAGCTTTGTAAAAATATTAGAAAAATCTTGAACCCGATGGCCAAAAGTAAAACCACTTTTTAGACGGAGTCTCACCTTGCACCAAGTTGAAAATGGCAAAGTTTATATTAGATATGGCCAATATCTTAATCGTATATTGAAAATACTTACTGAAGGGGCTGAGAAGAATTCTGCAGGTGTAAGGTAAAGGTGCTGGTCACTGTAACCATTATACGCCTTGGTGCTGGACAACCCGCCTGTACGACCACCGGAAGTCACAGTAGCGTCATCTATAATTATAAATATATCAGTCTAACAAACAGCTATGGCCAGTACTTTGAAATATGTGAGATGTAAATCATGAATTGACATTGAAAATACGTCGATCGCAATTATGTCTATATTTTTAAAATAGGTGATCGAAAGCAAAGTTTGTTTTTCTAATATGCAGAATAGAACTGTCTCTCTCCAACGAAGACGTAGCTGTTGGCAACTCTCTCTCTCTCTCTCTCACACACACACACACACACACACACACACACAAATTCTGCTTACTGGTTTGCTTCTTCAGGTTGTACGGGTTCCACTGGCCCAGAGGGGTGAGGTAGGTGACAAACAAAGGTACAGCGTATGACCATTTCTGGTAGTAGTTGACGCACACTCTGCTCTTCCCCCTGCCGTTACATGCATCCAGGTGCATGCCAGCAACCTGGACATAGAATAACTAATATTATACACTTGGTTTTATATATAGGATTATATTCCACAGCATAGTGAACCCAACGCTGTCACAGATATGCATTTTTGAAGAGACGAAAAATTTAATGTTTTATTACCTTCTGTTGAGTGGTCTGAGCGGTAAAGATGGATTCGTCGGAGTAGCCACGATGGCGCACTGTCAACCCCATAGCTCCCTTACGCATCACTCTAAACCAGCGGTTGTAATAGGCGCTGTTAAGCTGAAAAGGAAACAATGGAAATATATACGTGTGTGTGTGTGTGTGTATGTATGTGTGTGTGTGTGAGCTGAAAATCAGCAAAGGAGAAAACACTCTGCAGGTATATTTTTAGATATACTAACTCAATTTTTATCATGAATTTTTGGAGATTGAATGAGCCTGCTGTGCATAAAACACGTATGGTTACACGCACTGCTATAAGGCCTAATGATCATATAATAAACAGCAAAGTAAAGTTTTACTTTAGTGACATACAAGTAACAGAACCAGTGTCCAAGTCATCGGAAAATGACTGTTGGATTAAAAAAAAAACCAAATTTAGTTGATTTGAATACCTTTGGCTGGGTGGCAATCTTTGACGAAAGAGGATACACAGCTTCGAAAAGACCATCATCTACGTTTTTACCCGGGTAGTTATCTAATCCTGGAATTCATTAGAATGTATAATTACAGAATGAGTTTGACTGTACACTGCACTCACGTTATCATTTTATTTTTCACTGCTATATGACTTTCAAGTACAAATAAGCTTACGTGCACATCACATATTTATAGACACGCGCGCGCGCAAACACGCACACACACACACACACTGGATACCAACAGTCCACTCACACGTACCTGGTATTTCTTCCATTATAATATCTAGCAGCCCTCGTCCGGCGAAATATTCACTTTTAGACGTGTCATACTTTGAGTTCCTCGGGTTTAGCTGGAACCTGTGAAATGGCGATTGTTTGCTTAAAATGGATACTAAGGTATTTTAGTCGATATGTTTTTGATATCTACTATTATTGGGTGATCCTTAAATTGCCCAAGCAATCAAATTTCTAACAACGAATAAATGGGACGTAGACTGACTAATTTATATGAGTTAAAACTTTAACTTAAAGAGTATGAGACAAATTATTGAAAAAGTTAAATTTTAGAGAATTAAAGATCCGTAACCACTTTTTTGCATTTTTCGTCGTGCAATCCAACAAATTATTATCCCTACCGAGCATAATCAGAATCCTTGTACTCTTCGAAAGTCAAATTTTTGGCCATGCGGAGCGCAATGTTGTCAATGACTCTGAACCTGTCTCTCTTGATGACAGTTTTAGGCGTGTGACACATGATCCTGTAGTTCCACTTGCCGAATACAGGGATAGTATCGTTAATCAGGTCGATCATTGTGGTGGGGAGATAGTCGTACCTGTGAAAAACCGACGTATCATCAAGTTATTTTTCATATAATTTGTTAAGCGATAGAAATGGTAGAGGAAGAGAGAAGATAAAACTTTTTACAGACAATTACAACAACCCGAGCATAATATCACATATACCAGGTAATTATATCCTATACCCTAAGTTCCTGAATCAATGATCAATTTCACTTACTTTTCATCGTTGTAAGCTCCCGTGTATCCCTGGAACTTGACATTATACTGTGTGTTCAAAAAGTCACTACAAAAGAAAAAAAAATTGACAATTACAGTCATATGTTATATACATGTACATAAGCGGTCTCAGGTTGCGAATATACACAGGAGAATACAGTATACTACGGCGTAATACCTTTGTTTTATCTTAAGTTTTAGTACAGATACCCAAGCAAGTTATTTGTTTATATAGTTTATGTGCGAAGAAGTTGCAGTATATTTTCGAAATGCAGTAAATTTTCTGTAATCGGGAAAAGGATAGCGTCACAAAGGCGATCTAAATCCATTTTGCGGAGTATTTTGCACCATAAGTCGGTATCTTTAGCTGAAACAAGCGGTACAATGGCGGAAAGATATTATGTATTTTATGAAGGCGTCAGCCAGGCGACATTTTTAGTGGAAGCCATCCTTGAACGCGCCAGTCACTCACGCTGAAAGTGGGTCTTTCTTGTCCGCCTCGAGCCACGTCCCTTCGAGATAGCAGAAGACGCTTTTGAAGTAGGGGTAAAAGTTTCTGCCCGATCGCGTACTAACGTCCTGGAAATTTCTGAACCATTCTCTCATTTCTGCAATCTGTTTGGTCACGTCTCCTTTGCTTTTCACCTAAATCAAATCAAAAATTGAAGTCAGAAGAAAGGATTATGGCGTTAAGTATATATGCGTATTGTGTTGTGTTGTGATATGGATTACCAGCGAGCACTTCCTATTTTGTATGCTGCGCATTTTATTATTATTATTATTTATTTATTTATTTATTATTTTTTTTTTGGGGGGGGGGGGGGGTCACATTGGTACTGATTGCAACGCCAAACTTAATAATTTTTTTGGTTAAACCATAAACCTAAAACGCAGCGCCAATGCATAATCAAGGAACACTTAAAGATGTAAAAAGAGCAAGGAGTATGTACATGTGGAGCTTACTCTACCTGAGGTGGGACAGTGGGCAGAGTAATCGGCTCAGTGGCATGGAATGTCTTGCTTGTTTTGTGTGGAGTTCTCAGCTCTATAGTGTGGCGTTTGGCTCGGAACTCGACTCCGTTGAGAACTGCAATTAAGGAGCCGATGTCGAACATGTTCTTCTTGGAAGGAACTGGTCTGATGTTGCCGACTGTGTCACCAACATGAGCTGAAAAAAGTATTGGGTTAGTAAAATAAAATATCTGATTTCAATATGCTTTGATAAGTTGTTACACAAAGTTATTTTTAATAGATAACGAGAATGGTCTGGACTCATCATCAATGGGCCTGGATGACGCAAAAAGCTTTGTTTGATCATCTTATCCCGTCTTAGAAACCCTGAAAACCCTTTTCATTCTTTCTTAAGTTGTGAGCGGTTTCCGCAGAGGATTGCCCTAGTGTTTTCGTGTTTATACGAACTTGAGGATTCAATTTTGAAGACATTTCAGCGTTAAAACATTGGATCCATACTGACATTGTGGAGGATGAAGGTATGTATAAGGCTCTGCTTAGAGTGGAATTTGGTTTCTTCACCACTTCTGATACAGGCAAGTACAACATTCAAAATTTCAGCAAAAAATGGATGCAAAAGAAATAATGAGCAAAATGTTCAAGATAAACAAGAACTTTCAATATAGAACATCATACTTTAATATTTTACCTTTTATTTGAAAAATTATAAAATTCAAACTATCCAAATTTCTAAAATTCAAACTATCCCAAGTGGCATACGTACTCTGGCTGAAATAAGGCCGGGTTCCTGTGCTGGTGGTGGGGACTTGTTTGATACCAGAGTCAGCGTCCGATCTGACTTTTTCTTCAACGAACAACTGCTGGAGCTGCAGCTGCCGCATCAGGGCGTCCACCTTGGCCCCCAGGGAGTCCACCTGAGCCTCGCAGGCCGGTGGCTGGGCGGCATAGCTGGCAGTGAGACAGAGGAGCAAGACAATCAAACGTTCCTGAATGAAAAATGACAATTAAATTGTTACTTTCCTTTAATAAGAAAATAATAAGTGGAGGATTTATATGTATAACATATGTTTCCATTGCAAGGTGAAGGGGCAAATCAGTGACACGGATTACTGCACTAACGCGGATTTTGATCGCGTTTGCGCTGTCTTTTCCTATAGCCCACAGCCTACAGGGCCCTTTCTATTCATTTGACAGACTGTGTAAAAATACGTTTTCTAGGTAATTTTGTAATTCGTTGATCCACACAAATTCCTTTGCAGTTTTAAGCCACAAAGAGCCTCTGCGCGTGATATCAAATTTCAACATACTTTAAAATATTTTAATGTTTTAAGCTACTTGTCAATTTCTATTTTGCTCTCTGATGATACTGTAGGTTTCTTACCATTTCAATGTCCTCTCGCTAAACGTGATGTCTACTGCTTTGACATACGTAATCTTCGACGTATATATGTCACCAATGTTATCGTATGTTCCCAGTCGTGACTTCAGTGCCTTTAAGCTTACGGGTCGCATGGAAGAAGAGCGTTGATAACGGACGGCCATATGGAACCTTCTCAAAGAGTGGGAGGCCTCTCTGGCATACAACAACTATCACGAGTTCCATATGAAAATACCCTTTTCATGGAATAGTGGACTAATTTTCTAAACATGTTTTAGTTAATTTCTCTCTAGAACCAATGTCATGCCAATGTCTTAGAGAAGGCTTATTTTTGCCCTTTTTGTGAATCATTCACCTGCCGACATAATATGTCATATGCCGACATAATCATTCTAGACGCGGTGGAAATAAAACAGGTGGGAGGGGCAGAAAGTGGTGAATTTGTCGACATGACATGCTTCGGTGACACGGCGAGACAGCAATTTGGAGAGGTCACACAACGTTTGGAGAATGAGCGCGTAGTTTCGTTTTTTCGGTTATTTTACCGCTGACCTTAGATAGTTTTTACTTTTACTTTTTTTACTGTTCTAAATTTTACTTTTCTACTTTATTTGTTCGCCAAACATTCAATATAAAAATATAATTTATTTCGTATTTTGAAAGTCCAAGAGGTCCAGCTTGTCTTTTGGTTGTGAAACTAACCAATAAACAGTAACCTCCATTCGACCATACTTGTCTAATTAATACAAAACTATAAGACTCATAACAAGATTATGCACGCATTTTATAACTTTCCAGCTTTTATTCAACCAAATTTACTTTAATCCTGTAAACATGTGATAAATGTAACCATAACCATTTAACATAACAATATTCATCCTTTCTTCAAAATCATTTGTTCTCGAATTCCAGAATTCCACTCAGCTACGTTAAGGAAGATGTGGTAACTCCCTGTTGCAGAATTTCTCCAGATGTAATTATAGATCATAGAAGTAGATGTAATTTGATGATAAGAGTTGGGTAGTTGGTGTAAGGCAGATCTAGAGAAGAGGTTCCAGCAGACATTTCCCCTTAATCAGTACATACGGACTTACATGTACATGCGACCTGTCCAAACTAAACAGGAACGAGTTATCTTTTGATCTGTTTCACCCGATAAGGAACTGTTTTTTTTTTTGGACAAAAACAGTAAGTTTACACACAATGCACAAAAGGTTGGGTTTTTAAAGAAAGTTCAGATTCGGGCAGAAAAGATACAACTCCGTATTCTCTGATGTTTAATGACATCTCTGAACAAAATACTGTAAAAGGATCGGAAAAAGAGTCTTCAAATTACTATGAAAGAAGTTTTTCGTGATCTTTAAATAGTATGATGAAACAGGGAGGAAAGTCCATGGACGGTTGACAGAAACTGGTTTGACTACTGCTGTTCAGTCCTCAAGCAAAGAATAGTTCCGTTTCATTTTCAAATTATTTATATATCATATATAGAATTAACGCCTTTAAACCCGCCTTAACACCCTCTATTATAGACGGATTGTACCCCGCCCCCTTTTACCTTTATCCAAAAGTTAATATAAATTACACAAATAAGCTCTTTGTGCCTCACGTTGCAAAAGCGTGCTCACTTTAAAGACCCAACACTGCGTATGATACAGACAATGCATTGAAACCAAGCAAATGAGAAGTCCCATTCATGATAGAGCTAGCAAAACCAGTAATCCTTTTCTTCATAAATAATCCATGTTAACGAGTTGGTGTGCATTCGTAAAATTATCGCTCGGACGGTGTTTGCTTTTCATTAAGTTATTAATATATGTTTCATTATCAGCGGTTTGCTTAATTGGTTATGTAAGCGAGATAGTACAGAGTGACAGAAGGCCCGCGTGATATGTTAGTCCTCTCCAGAAATTTTCGTGGAACGGGCAGGTACAGTTGATTGAGCTCTTCAGTTTTAATTTCGCAGATCCAGTTTTAAAGCTATTCTTATCATTATTCAAGTACGAAATGGGTCTATTTTACTTTTATGCAGACACTCAGTTTGATAGTGAAGGTTCATTGAAAGAGGGGGTTTAGCGCAGCAAATACTGTTACTGTCGGTAGAGATTTATTCGCCGTTATTTTTACGTGTTACTCCTTTATTTACGCTCTAATAATATTTTTTCGTGTCTGTTAATGGCAACCAGTGAAGATATTGATTCTCTATAAGTGAAGAATAGTAGATGTTACATCAGCTAGACGCATTTGAAAAATTACTGCAAACGTGGTTAGAATATATTTTTCCACGGTTTTCGGTATTCACTTTCGCATGCCGCAAAACTGTAATATGCCAGCCTTTGCTGCTGCAGTCACCGGCGGTAGGCTATTTTTTATATCTGGTCCCACTTAAAAAAATATTAAATTTCAGATTTTTACAAGGACCCTCCTAAACAGGAAAGTGATAAGTAAAGCAAATACTACATGATGATGTCAGGAAACCACAAACTCAGCGATGAACTCAGTAATACTAACCCTCACTGGACCAAGAGGAGAATTAGAACGGCTTCAGTACAGCATAAATTGGCCGCAAACAAACTGGTTATGGACACCGCAAACTTGGAAAGACAGCAGAAGAAAGCGTTGAGAGAGATTGACGTCAAAATGGCTGCTTTGGCGACACGGCGAAAGGAGTTGGAGGAAAAGAAGAGGCAGCTGTCCAAGCATCCGTGCACATATCCAGACGAGGAATCTGCAGATCTGCAATTAGCCACAGAAGAGACACAGAGTGGTGTCTTTCTTCATAAATCTGTAACCCGCGATAAAACTAAATCGGTTACTCGGAAACAGGAAGAAATTGCAGACACCACAAATCTCGATGTAACATTAGCCCGTTTGCATTTTCGACGCAGTTTATCAGCGGAATCGTTTGGCTCCAGTGCCGTCAAGGCTTCGGAATTATTTCGTCATAGGAAACTCAGTGATCAAACCGACCGGAAAGACTTTTTTCAAGAGACATTTAGAACTTACCTTCGGCCGTACACCGTTGAAACAGATAAGTCTGTTAAGTCACAAACAATTTCGCACCAAAAGACACACAGTGGTTTGTCGGTTAACTTCACCGCCCAGGGTAGATTGAAAACTAATAACTGGACTTTGGAAAGAATAGCTGACCAGTTTCGCAAAAAAAATGCGACTAAAACAGACGCGCCAAAAAGCATCACCAAACCAGCGATAAAAAGTGATTATGGACAAGAGAATAGTAATATCCATCATGAGACTTTGAAGAACGGAAGGAAAACAAAAATTCCTCCATCTTTGGATAGGCCGAAGGCCAATTATGAAATAACCAAAAATGTATCACGTCCAAACCCAAGCATTCAGTGTGAAGTGGCTCCGCTGCCAGGAAAGACTCCTAACAAAATCACAGCTAATAAAGATTCTCCATACAACCGCCAAGCATTACCTTTGCCTCCTCTTCGCGCTTCTCCGGTAAACCCAGATTCCTCATTTCAGAACAACGGACAAATGAATGCAAATTCCGATGGCAAAGAACAGAAAAAAGTTCATTTTACTTTACCAAGTGACGGAGAGCAGACGATTACCGGAGTACGGAAGTCACGTGACTAGACGATGTACTTCTCAGTATTTAAATCATATTTGCATGCAGTCGTCATACACTTACGGATAATACGATCTGTTTGAGATGACAGGAGCGCCGACTGAAGACAATAATTTCTATAAATGTTGTGTTGTGATTCCAATTTAGTTTTCTGAGTGTAGAAAAATGTTTATAAAATCCTCGCACAAATCGGTAATGAAGCGCTTGTCCTTGTAAGGCCTACTAAGCATTTAGTTTAAGTTTTTAAACCAGTCTAGTAAATTTCAAGAAAATGTTTGAGTCATGAACAGTATGTCTGAATAATAATAATAATAATAATAATAATAATAATAATAATAATAATAATTATGATGATGATAATCAATTGCAGAATTAAAAAAGAAATTCTGGGATAATATTTTATCATATTAGGCCTATTTCAAAATAGTATTAACCATCTGTAAGACAGATGATATAATTTCAATGACCCAGTGCACGGTTTGAGGTGAACGACTGAGAACAAAGTAATGCTTTTGTTGCAATAAAATGTTATAATAAAAATAGCAACAAATACACCGTAGAGTCAATGGAAGTAAATATTATCGAAAAAATACCAACACCTGACGAAACGAATTTCTATAGCTTTGTATTTACCTTGGAGGCCACACAGCAAAAAAATACAAGCTACTGTGTTGACTACATAACACCGCACAATAGGTAACAAACCAATGAATTGAAAATCCCTGTTTTAATCTTCAAAATGCACATAAAACGCACTGGCGTGTTTAAGCAGCATTGATTGTACAACAGAAAGCGAGTAGTAGTGATATTGTATACAAAGAGAACCCTTGCTCTCTAATGTTATGATTGCTTGGTTCATTCATCGGATGTAAAGACTGAAAACATGGGGGTTTGCGACAAATTGTTTTCGCGGTCTCCTCGTCCAAATATTAGGCCAAACCCCATAACCCCCAGACATAATGTGTCAAGCACACATTTTCTGTAATACACATTTTCTGTATTACACCTAACTTGAGATCTTTTAAACACCCAGCGCTTCCCGAAGAATAACTGCTGTGTTACTACTGTTCACGGTTGACAGGTAAGTGACAAAAAACGATGCAAATGTGACAGTTTCTAAGTTTACAAATTCCTCTCGGGATATTTGTGTTGTCACAAAGAGTAAACAGAGCGAGCGAGAGCACTAGAAAAGGGAATAAACATTATATTAGTGTTAATCAGGGGAGAACGTCACAATTGCATATTACCGCATCAGTCCAAGGCAACGCCAAATTCTCTGTTGATTTAACGTTATGAAATCGTAAATGTAACCATTTGTGGTGGTCGGTCACAAAGACACACTTGGTCGTCAATAGGGCTCTCTTGACCCCTGTGGCCTCTTCTGTTATGAACAGAACTTGGGACTGAAGATAAAAAGATATTACGACTGCTGGGTATAATATTTGTACAGATGTGAACCGTATGACGACCTGTTTATAGCCGTTTCGTCACTCGGTACGCGTAAAAATATTCTGATTTGGCTCACACACAGATTAATCGATCATATAAAATAGGCATCGTTGTACTCTCCCTTCCTAGGTGAGTTGGGTTAGACTAGGAGTTGATGTTTAAAGATTATAATTAAATGATATTTTATCGGAATTATACAGTATATAGTTGAATTTTCAGTATGTATTATGCCCCTGTGGGCGAGATGAAGAGAAATTCATTAGGTTACGAATCCTTAAGTGCTATACCAAATTCCACGCAGAAAGTCGATATAAATGTTAAAATTTAATCAATTTAATGACATTTTAACAATACTTTCAGACATAGTGTAAGTCTCTACTGAAAAGTTTCTGATGGGTATTCACTGGAAAACTGATGTTAATCAATTTGCCTTAGTTACAAGTTTTTCAAGGTCGCTGGTAGTGGAAATCAGAAAGGAACAGAGATCGCACCCTGTTCACCCTGTTCAAGATTTATTTTAGAGCCCAATTTTAATAGGTCAAAAACATATTCTATAACCGCTGTAACCGAAACTTTACATTTTTAACGAATATCAGACTTAATTCACTTTTTTTGTTCTTCAGAAACCTGTAGGCAATATTTTTCACCCACGGCCTGTAACCCTGGATGCCAAACAGGGCCTACTCCGTCTTCTTGATATATACGGACTTTAATACCTAACCATGGACGAACCAGCTCATCATGCACACAGATACGGGCACCAGCTCCTTAAAATTGCTACCCACTGGTCGTCAGAGTCGTGCCAAACGACCTCGGCCAAAAATAAATGGGAAGAAAAAAAACTGACTCGAAACACGAAACACCTTGACGCTGAACGAAAAACCTGCTTAAGACTTATTGAAGGTCAGAAAAACGCCTTGAAAAAGCACCTGTCCGACCTTCACCATCGTCGGACGCAGATTGCACATTACACCGACGACAACTCCGACATGATGCTCGACAGCTTAAGGAAGATGCCTAAACAGTTGTATGCAAATATTTTTCTTAGTCAAAGACGTTCTTGTGAGTATCTTAGCGAAGCATCTTACTTAGAAGATGACATGACGTCTGCTGAAGATGCATCTTCCAGTTGGAAAGATCGCAGAAGTTTGTCCGACGCGACATTAGAGCTTAACGATACAAGGGCATCTGGGGATGAAACCGATTCCCAAAAAGTTCGCCCTTTAACAGTCCCTTCTCTACAAAATCAGGGAGACGATTTCGAATTACCAGATGTGAGGAGAGACTCAAATATTGTCCGATCTACTTCACACGAAATCATCTCAAAAGAAAACGACGAGGATTCTACTCATGACGTGGACGACGCAACAACAATTCTTCATCACAGCCCTACAATGAGACCTCGTGCATATTCTGAGTCGGTAAAACACAGAATTAGACGCCGAAGTTTTATTTTCCCGGATTCGCCTTCTTCGGCCCTTTTTAAGCGTTCTCCATCGCACAGCAGCAACGAATCGCTGGGATCGGCAGAGGACGTGAAATCAGTTGGAGCGCGGCTAGGCCGGAGAAGGTTTACTGTGAGCCCGCTCGTGGGGGATATGACGCCCCAATCTTCCCCATCCCCAGGTAGCAGCCCTCCCAGGGGTCATATTCACCCACCTGTCACACTGATGTCTAAAACTACTGGACAGTGTCCTCAGATACAACGCACGCGTTCAGCAGCTAAACACAACCCCCAGGCGCTGAAGACGGAAGATGGTGATAAGTATCACCTTGATCAAACCAGTCACAATGTCAGCAGCAGCAGGTTTTACGTGAATACTAGTGCTAAGGTACAACCAAGAAGGCTTTTGAGTAGAGAGACAGAAGAAAAGAATGTCATGCAAGGCCAGCGAGAGAAACACCACGATAAACCTTGTGGCGATAAAGAAAAACGCGGACAGCTCTCTCCCGATGTAAATAATACGCCTCGAAAAAACTCCCTTAGCGCTGACTCTGAAAAAGAAAACTCCACTCCACTGAGGAGAAATTCATTCAGTTCATTTAAACATTACAAAAGACATTCAACTGCCTCGGTGTCATCCGCCAAAGAAAAACAGACCAATTCAAAGTCTACAGACATTCAAAAGCTGGCCGTACATTTTAACCGCGAACGTCGGCTCTCTCTGCCAAGTGTGATAAGGCAGACGATAGCCCAAAAACGATTTCTGGAAAAGCAACCATCCCAGAAAAATTCCGAATCCGGGAACAATGCAGTGTCTTATGCGACTCCGCCTGCATTAATTATCCCTACCATAGTGCTTCACTTGGTGGCAGACGACCCCCCAGAAGAGGCGGGAAACTATGGCGACCCTCACAGCATCTTTATGCAAGGCACGCCCGGTGTATATTAACAATTATACGTGTGTAGATATTGGGGCGTGAATAACATGTAATGCAATTAGATTAAATCTCGAAATGGCCTAGTGTGAAAGAATGGAAGTTTCTATCTTGTTCATGTGTTGTTATTTGCTTTGGCATTCACTTATTGTAATATTGAACGATTACAAAAATATTATGCATGTTTTATTGTGAAATGCATAGCGTTAGGTTTCTTTCTCGGTCTTGAAATCAATGCCTGTGTCAAAATGTAAATTATTCTCATTTACTTTCAATTGTCACGTACGGTTGAGAGGAAGAGTTTGTTCTTTCAAGTATTATAACTGAAAATAAAATTAAGAAAGATATTCGTGCTGTGTTTTGGAAAATCTCTGTAATAATACAACCAACATTAGCAGGTAGCAATTCCTTAAAAACACCGACTTATGATTGCGTTAGTTACCAGTGTGAGTGGGCAACACATCCCTCATACGGCGGATCCAGCGCTAGAATGCGTTAGATGTGACGCGCTTAGGAAATTGCTCAAACTGATTAAAACGTTCAGATCCGGACAGATATAATAATTTAAATGAAACATATAAAATTTTTGTCATCTTGAACAGTAATAAAAAACTTTTAATACTTTCTCAAAAAATAACAACACTCAATTAATTTAACATGATTGCTTTCTTTAATTAATAAAGAATTGTTTATCCTTTTTAAAAGGAATTTACATTGTTTATCCTTAAACAATTCATCACTGGTATCAATTCACAGGATTCAAAGGCAGTTTTTACAAAAAAGTTTGGTAGTTGATCATCATACATTATTCAAAAACGTTATAACATTTCATTAAAATTGAATTGAAAATTCAGATTATTTAGCTTTTTAATGGTTAATGGAATTAATCAAAAAATAAAATCTGAAAAATCTGAGTGTTTTACCATGCCCAGGATTTTGTCAAAAGGGGTGGGGAGTGGGGTGTGGATGGCAAAGTAAAAAAAAAAAAAGAGCCACCTAATGATACACATAATCTCATGATTTACGTGTCAACACAAATCTGCCACCATATATTCTTATAATTACTAAACTACCAACTACCAACATCTATCAACATTTTGAAATTGAATCATTATATTGTGCACAATGATGTAAAATTGTTTGTTTTTTGTTTCACATTTCCGTGTTATACTGTGTTTTGTAGAGTTAGAGAAGAGGGAGGACTGGGTACCTTAAAAGCTTACTTAAAGATGCTGAAGGTGCCTGCTGTCCTCCTCCCCCCCCCCCTTGATCTGCCACTGATGTGGTTTTGAAGGAGAAAACAAAGATTACACTGACATTCAGGTACATGGAACAAGTATCATATTTGCCATCAAAATCTGTAACAAGAAATATTTGGCACCAACAGTTTGCCCCTTTGCCCTAAAGCCTTTGAGGCTACTTGAGGTAAAGTTTAATTAGTTTTTAACTTAGCAGGAATGATATAATTTATATATTATACATACATTTAATATATATATCTATATATTCAATTTTACCATAAACCACCTGATTATAATTGAAAAACATGAAACTAATACTCATCTCATGATCTAACATTAACATCAGGCTTTCCCCTTATTTGGTTTATAAATATTTAAATATCAACACCCTTGTCATGGGCAAATCTAAATCTAACATTTAAAAATCTAAAGAAAATTTTATTATTTTTTTCATTGAAATACTTCATACTAACATTTGGCCACAATGAAAACCTCAATATACAGATAATGCCAAGACCAGCTTTAAAGTATAGCACTTGTAACTCTTAAAGTATAAATACACTTTTTTTCAAAATAAAATACAATATTGCTGTGTGACCAAGTCTATTGCAACTCCACCTTGAGCTATAATGCCACATTCACAACAGCAGACTTGCAGAACTGCAGAGCAAATATGGCCGACACACTTGAATGCTTGTATGGTTGTAGCGAAATCCCAACAGATATGGGTCGGACATATTTGATCTGCGGATCTGTTAGTCTGCTGTTCTGGATATGCTTTAAGATGCCACTGTTCACTCCTTTGCTTTCATATTTCATTTTTGAAATCAGACTAAACAAGGTATGTTATAATCAAATTACATGGTGAAATAAGTACATCAGTTTTCTAATGCTATCAGATCACACACTTTTTTGTTACAAATTTTCTTTTTGAGATACTGGAGGATAAGTCTGATGCCAAACTGCCATCTTTAGTTTACGCTGACATCCCTATGCTGTCATCTGTGTCATCTTCTAATGATCCTAGGGTGCTGTAGATCAATGTAATATGTGTGTGTGTGGGTGTGTGTGTGTGTGTGTGTGTGTGTGTGAGAAAGAGAGAGAGAGAGAGAGAGAGAGAAAGAGAGTATGCGCATGCATGCGTGCGTGCGTGCTTGTGTTTGGGGGAGGGATTAGTAAGCGACAAAACAAAGTATGTGACCTCACCTTCACTACAGACTAACCATTAAAAGCTGAACTCTGAATATCAAGTTTGAAGTTCCATAACAAAAATATAGTTCTGATGCACCTGTTTTTGTTTTTTTTTAATCACACATTATTACTTACGTGTGTTTGTAAGAAAGATTTATTGAAAAGTAAATAATATATTAATGACTTTAAAAAATCTTGCACTTAAAAATAGCTGCCTAATATAATTAAATGCCATCACATCACATATGAAAAGGTGAAAAAATAATGGCAGGAAAAGGCTGATCAATTATCTATGTAGTGTGACTGTGCAAGTGATCTATATCATGATGTTATGGTCATACCATTTTTTAAAATAAATTAAATTCGACATAACAAGCTCAGACCTATGTCTTGATTACTTTAGGGATCTTTTTTTTGGCCTCTCATTTTTGTAATACGTAACTCAGTGATGCCTAGATGTGTCACGCTCTGCACCGAGATAATGTTTAAAATGTTATCATGATGTCTTTACAAACGTAGCTAGAAAAAGATATATTGGTCATTCTGAGGAGTTCTTTGTCTACTTTTGTAAATGAGATTTTTTAAACAATAGGCTCTCAATTCTTTTTCAGTCTCATACAGGAAATAAAGCAGGTTTTCCTTACTTTTTACCAAGCCACAGTATCCAGACTGTTAGAAAGCATCAGACAAGGATAACATTCTCTATAAGTGAACTTCTTTTCTCATCTAATATCACACAAAAACCTTTTGCTCAGATTTCTGTTCAACACAGGAGTGCAGCTCCTGTAAAAGGTGCTCTAATCTTCTGTCCAGTGCTTTCAGGTGTGGTTCAATGAGAATAGGAGCCAATGGATCTGCTTCAAGAATACCTTTAAGTACATTGCTCAACACTCCATCCTTCAGCAGTTGAAGTCTGTCCCACGTCGTACGCCGTAGTCTAAAACACAAAACAAAAAGAATCTCACACCATTAATGAAAAGAAATTACTTGAGATATTTGCCATACACAAACTAAAATTTCAGTTGTTCATGCTAAGATTGATGGTCTCTTTGGGTACATAAATTAAATTTCTGTAAGTTTGATACGTGAAGATACATATAGGTATCACATTTGGATATCAAGAAGGAGAGGGAAATGACTCTGCATTTTCTCCCCTGTTGTGAAACTTATAGATCATACTCACAGACAACATTGCTTTATTGGAGTTAAAATGCTTTTCTCATCATGGTAATAATTTCCAAAACTGAAATTAAAGTATATATAAATTAAGTATTCTACATACCTACATATTAGTATTTAAAAAAAAAAATAAAATAAAAATAAAATAAAATAAATAAATAAAAAATTGCAAGTTTGTGAGCTGATGCCCTTGTCGCACTTTCATGAAAAATGTCACTTTTTTTGAAGATAAAATGAGATCAATTTCCACAGTTAAAGACAATTTTTAGTTAACAACCTAATGACAACCCTATATTGGCTGTTGAACATATTTCTTACAGCTGATCATAATTTTTCTTTCTCACAACACAGTCTTATATTTTCAACTGCTTCTCTTCTATAAAATCAGGAGCAACTTTCTTTAAAAAAATTCTAACAATTACATGTACATGTATGTAGTATGTATATGGCTGCCACATTCAACATCTATAAAATCATAAAATCATTCCCAGGTGACAGATTGAACACACCTTTTGGCATTATCCAGCATAATAATCATGCTGTCAGTGGCGTTAGCAAATGTCTCATAATGATGGCGATCCGCATTCCCAATGAGGTAGTCCACTACAACAGCATCTAGGAGATCCAGAAGGCGGGGTCCGCTGTCGTAGGGTGCCACGGCCCGCACAGTATCACAGTATGTATCATCGTACTCCCACCTGAAGGTAACACAGGTATATATAGCATTCACAGAATACAATATTGTATTACAAGTGAAATGGTGATAGGCAGGACAGGTCAGCAGAATCAAGGAGGACAGATGGAGAATGAGGCTAAAAGAATTGTCACCAAGATATGGGCATAGAACCCAAAGGAAGCCTCATAAGAAACGGAGGGATGAGTTAGATGAGTATTGGAAGAAACCAAATTGAGAGTCTGAGACCCCAAGACAAGAATACACTGGAAGGAGGCCTTTGTCCAACAGAGGAACACTTGGCTTTAAATGATGATGACAATGATATAATACTGGAATTTAAAGGTATCCAATGGTACCTGGCCAGGCCTCTAGGCCACCATGCCTTCTTGTATATTTCACTAGGAAATCAACATCAGGTACTTTTATTTGAAGGGTTTCTATCATTTTAAAGGTCTGAATGGAGAAAGATTAGTAGCCTTGCAGGAATTTTGGACATAGAATATATGTCTCTGGGGCATTTTCAAATGCAGAAAGTGCCTTCAAAAAAATTACCTGGCAACTTTTCCCTCCTTATAAGTCCTCTGCCAAGGGCTTCTGTGTTTTTTATAAAAAGTCCACTGCCTTGGCAACCACAAGACCACAGCGCCCTCTAGCATTTCACCATCAGCGCACACCCCGTCCTCTTCACTCTTGCAATAGAGACACTGCCCATAAAAACAGGTGTTGTTATCTGGAATAGATATAGTACTGTCAATTACTGCACATAAAAGCAGCCTTACTAGCCAAATATCAATAACCAACTGATATATTGTTTTTGATATCTTTGATGTATCCCAAACTAGTAGGGCTGGAAGATATATACATGTACATGTAAATACCTCTTTGAAAGAAAGTACTCTTTAATTTTGTGGATGAAACTGGCAGGATTTCTTTCTGCAGGTTGACTGTGCGTCCCACCACCAGAGGTGCTCGATTCAGTCCCAGTAACCTGTAATAATACAGAGAATATTGTACTATAAACACACAAACAAAAATTATATTATAAAAATGACCAGATAGATTGACTGGCACATAAATATGATTGATACACAGGCCTGTAGCCAGCTATTTCATAATGGGGGTTCTTTTCCTGAAAAAGTGGACCTTTTACAATGTAACCTTTGTGTACCTAGATCAAATTTTACCCAGAATGGACCTTTTCCTGACAAAAAGGGGCGATTCTTTCCAACTCCCTGACCCCCAAGGCCTATGGGACTGTACATGTCTCTTAAATCTGATCTGTATACATAACTTATTTAACACTGTCAGTTTAATTTTTCTTCTCTTTTGAAGTTATTAAGTCTTGTGGAAATAGACTTTTATCCTGACTGTGAGTTTTAAATCTAACCTAGCTTTAAACAGGTATATGTTTAACAGTTGCCAAGTTAAAATACAACCATCCTATCAAAGGCTGGTTACATTAAAAGATAAATAAAATAGCAAAAAAGGTATTTTGCAGAATCAACCACCAAATATATGTAAAAAAATAAATGGTTTCTTTGGTTGTCAAAATGTAAGAAATAAGCTATAATTTTTCTTTTTCTAGAAAACACATTCAGAAAGCAATTGGGTTTGCAGTTAATGCTATCCCCATGCACTTCTGTCAATAGTTACCTCAAAATAATGAGCCTTACATTTTCTTCGCTACATTAAAACACCACAATTGCTATTTACATCAAATCAAATGGGCCATTTCCTTGAAAAAAGTAACTAATTTCAGAGAAACTATCAGAATAATTGTGTTAAAGCTTTAACTGAGGAACTTGTAATAATATGATGTCTACTACGTTAGTGTTCATCTTAAGATAAGACCCTATGCTTGCCAGTAGTACACAAAACACTACTGATAATATTTCTGATATATATATATTTCTTAGCTAATTCTTGTATTTCATTTCACAGAGTAGCAGGTCTAAGTATGTGTCAGTATCATTTTAGATGTTGACTGGTGCAAGGTTGCGTCCATTCTTTGATTAACACAAGGTGACTCTGCAAGTTTTCTGACAAAACCAACAGAAGGTAAGTAAAAAAATGAAACTATTTCTTTAATTTGTCAACTTAAATTACGTCTCTTAACAGAGTTTTTGTGCTAAGGCTGTTTCACATACACAGATAAATTGGGAGAAGAACACTCACAGCAATGGTTGGCTAAAATGATTTCTTCATGAAGCCAGTCCTAGATTGCATAGTTAACATGTTTGTTTTTAATGTGGATTCCTTTGCTACTCACAGAAAATTTCATAACCCATTTTATTTGATCCTTTGCAAATGCATGTTAAATGATGACCTGTGTTTCAAATTAAACCTGGGAAGGGAATCTACTGCAATATTAGACTAAAACCATTATAAGAATTATACCAGCGAGCATATAGGCATTTTACCGTGCAGCTGACAAAATCAATTTAAATCAATGCAACAAATGCTTTTATACATGTAACACAGCTGATGTAAAAAAAAAAAAAAAAAAAAAATTGGATATGGTGTATGTCGCATGCAAGGACATCATACTTGAATACAAGTCACACCACACCTGGGTCTTTTTACCTGACATCTGCCGTAGCATAAGTCAGGTACACCACTTTTCAGTAAGTGACAGGGACCACAGTATTGAAAAATTGTAATTAATATTTTCTAAATACTGTGATCCCTGACATACGGTGTATGTGACAACCTCTGGCGCCTGACTCTGTGTATATCACATACATCTCCCTGACTCATAGTGTATCTATTACATACTGTTAACCTCAAGGTACGTGTACATAATGGATACTTCCCTGATTAACAAAATAAGCCTATGGCTGGTTTCACGGTAATCAATGTAAAATTTATGAAATTATGATAAATTTCAAACACCCTACTTTTTCTAATATTTTTTCATTTTCAAGATTTCACACACTCACAACATCATTCTTTTGGACACACAGCTACGTTACTTTTCAAATTTTCAAATCAAGATTTTAAAGGATTACTTAGAAAACTTTTCAGGGAAATGATTAATTTATGTTGTCTGAACTTGTTGAGTAATTACCATACCAACACAGACCTGGATACCTCCTGATCTGCCTAACTTATAGTGAACATCTGTATCATGTATCTGGTTTGCATACAAATGTTCTATCACTGTGAACTATCAATCTGAACTATCACTGTGCACAATCAATCCCCTTGTGTTAAAAAGAATTTCTTGGTAATGAAAGATAATTAGAAGTAAAGCTTGTGATGAATCAGCAGTTTGCAAGTAATGTGGACTACCAAGATTTGTGAGAGGCAATTAGCTTATTCACCTGCAAAGGGCTTAACTTACAAACATTTCATAAGTAAAAATACTTTTCTTGCCTCTCACTTTCATATTCTTATTTTTTTAGCCTTCCCCACATTAGAGTGAAATAATCAATCTTGGCTACAGATGTGTACAGCACATTAACTAAATCTAAACATCCATTACTAATTTAGGTATGAAAAACTTAATTAGGATGATATACCGTTGCCATAATTGACAATGTAAAGCACTGCTTCACAAGCCTAGTATCTGATAAAGGATGCCAGTGAGTACCTCGGCAGCTTTCTGATACCAGCTAGCACCTAGTTTTACTCTCTCTTAAAGCAGTTCAATTTCACACCAGGTGATAGCATTGACATAAAAGACATCCCTGGCAGTGCTGAATTTGGTAAGTATGGTGTGTAACATGTGCTATGAAGGGGACCCACTGAGAGTCCTCCATGTATCGTCCTTGTACAGGATTTGTAGTAAGTAATTTGAAAGGAATCTAGTGCATGGGCATATGTGAGTGGACCTAGCACAGGATAGTATGGTATATTTTATTAAAGGANACTCATCTCATGATCTAACATTAACATCAAGCTTTCCCCTTATTTGGTTTATAAATATTTAAATATCAACCGCCCTTGTCACTGGCAAATCTAAATCTAACATTTAAAAATCTAAAGAAAATTTTATTATTTTTTTCATTGAAATATTTCCTATTAACATTTGGCCACAATGAAAACCTCAATATACATATAATGCCGAGACCAGCTTTAAAGTATAGCACTTGTAGCTCTTTAAGTATAAATACACTTTTTTTCAAAATAAAATACAATATTGCTGTGTGACCAAGTCTATTGCAACTCCACCTTGAGCTATAATGCCACATTCACAACAGCAGACTTGCAGATCTGTGAAGCAAATATGGCCGACCCACTTGAATGCTTGTATGCTTGTAGCGAAATCCCCACAGATATGGGTCGGACATATTTGATCTGCAGATCTGTTAGTCTGCTGTTCTGGATATGCTTTAAGATGCCACTGTTCACTCCTTTGCTTTCATATTTCATTTTTGAAATCAGACTAAACAAGGTATGTTATAATCAAATTACATGATGAAATAAGTACATCAGTTTTCTAATGCTATCAGATCACACAGTTTTTTGTTACAAATTTTCTTTTTGAGATACTGGAGGATAAGTTTGATGCCAAACTGCCATCTTTAGTCTACGCTGACATCCCTATGCTGTCATCTTCTAATGATCCTAGGGTGCTGTAGATTAATGTAATGTGTGTGTGTGTGAGAGAGAGAGAGAGAGAGAGAGAGAGAGAGAGAGAGAGAGAGAGAGAGAGTATGCGCATGCATGCGTGCATGCTTGTGTTTGGGGGGAGGGGTTAGTAAGTGACAAAACAAAGTATGTGATCCACCTTCACTACAGACTAACCATTAAAAGCTGAACTCTGAATATCAAGTTTGAAGTTCCATAACAAAAATATAGTTCTGATGCACCTGTTTTTGTTTTTTTTAAATCACACATTATTATGTATGTGTGTTTGAAAGATTTATTGAAAAGTAAATAATATATTAAAGACTTTAAAAAATCTTGCACTTAAAAATAGCTGCCTAATATAATTAAATGCCATCACATCACATAAAAAATGTGAATAAATAATGGCAGGAAAAGGCTGATCATTTATCTATAAAGTGTGACTGTGCAAGTGATCTATATCATGATATTATGGTCATACCATTTTTCAAAATAAATTAAATTCGACATAACAAGCTCATACCTATGTGTTGATTACTTTCAGGATCTTTTTTCGGCCTCTCATTTTTGTAATGGGTAACTCAGTGATGACTAGATGTATCACGCTCTGCACCTAGATAATGTTTAAAATGTTATCATGATGTCTTTACAAATGCAGCTAGAAAAAGATATATTGGTCATTCTGAGGAGTCTTTTGTCTACTTTTGTAAATGAGATTTTTTTAAACAATAGGCTCTCAATTCTTTTTCAGACTCATACAGAAAATAAAGCAGGTTTCCCTTACTTTTTACCAAGCCACTGCAACCAGACTGTTAGAAAGCATCAGACAAGGATAACATTCTCTAGGTAGCTTCTTTTCTCATCTAATATCACACAAAAACCTTTTGCTCAGATTTCTGTTCAACACACAAGTGCAGCTCCTGTAAAATGTGCTCTAATCTTCTGTCCAATGCCTTCAGGTGTGGTTCAATGAGAATAGGAGCCAATGGATCTGCTTCAAGAATACCTCTAAGTACATTGCTCAACACTTCATCCTTCAGCAGTTGTAGCCTGTCCCACGTCGTACGCCGTAGTCTAAAACACAAAACAAAAAGAATCTCACACCATTAATGAAAAGAAATTACTTGAGATATTTGCCATACACAAACTAAAATTTCAGTTGTACATGCTAAGATTGGTGGTCTCTTTGGGTAGATAAATTAAATTTCTGTAAGTTTGATTGTAGATACATATAGGTATCACATTTGGATATCAAGAAGGAGAGAGAAATGACTCTGCTTTTTCTCCTCTGATAACTACTCTCTCCCCTGTTGTGAAACTTATAGATCATACTCACAGACAACATTGCTTTATTGGAGTTAAAATGCTTTTCTCATCATGGTAATAATTTCCAAAACTGAAATTAAAGACAAGAATATATAAATTAAGTATTCTACATACCTACATATCAAAAAAAAAAAAAAAAGCAAGTATGTGTGCTGTTGACCTTATCGCACTTTCATGAAAAATGTCACTTTTTTGAAGATAAAATGACATCAATTTCTACAGATTAAATACAAAATGACAAGTTTTAGTGAATAACCTTATGGAAACCCTATATTGCCTGCTGAATATATTTCTTATAGCTGATCATAATTTTTCTTTCTCATAATTTTTCAGCTTCTCTTCTATAAAATCAGGAGCAAAACACTCTTTTAAAAAAAATTCTAACTATTACATGTATGTAGTATGTATATTTCTGCCACATTAAACATCTATAAAATCATAATATCATAAAATCATTGACAGAGTGAACATACCTTTTGGCATTATCCAGCATAATAATCATGCTGTCAGTGGCGTTAGCAAATGTCTCATAATGATGGCGATCCGCATTCCCAATGAGGTAGTCCACTACAACAGCATCTAGGAGATCCAGAAGGCGGGGTCCGCTGTCGTAGGGTGCCACAGCCCGCACAGTATCACAGTATGTATCGTCGTACTCCCACCTGAAGGTAACACAGGTATATAAAAGCATTAACAGAATACAATACTGTATTGCAAGTGAAATGGACATAGGCAGGACATGTCAGTAGAATCAAGGAGGACAGATGGAGAATGAGGCTAAAAGAATGGTCACCAAGAGAAATGGAGGGATGAGTTAGATGAGTATTGGAATAAACCAAATTGGAAATCCAAAGCCCAAAACAAGAATACACCATGATTTGAGGAGTTTCTATCATTTTAAAGGTCTGAATTGTTAAAGTTAGATTTAAAAGCAGATAGTACCTTCAAAGCAATTACTACCTGGCAACTTTTCCCTCCTTATAAGTCCTCTGCCAAGGACTTCTGTGTTTTTTATAAAAAGTCCACTTCCTTGGCAACCACAAGACCACAGCGCCCTCTAGCATTTCGCCATCAGCGCACACCCCGTCCTCTTCACTCTTGCAATAGAGACACTGCCCATAAAAACAGGTGTTGTTATCTGGAATAGATATGGTACTGTCAGTTACTGCACATAAAAGCAGCCTTACTGTCCAAATATCAATAACCAACTTAAATTGAAATCTTCAATGTATTCTAAACTATTAGGGATGGAAGATATATACATGTACATCTAAATACCTCTTTGAAAGAAAGTGCTCTTTAATTTTGTGGATGAAACTGGCAGGATTTCTTTCTGCAGGTTGACTGTGCGTCCCACCACCAGAGGTGCTCGATTCAGTCCCAGTAACCTGTAATAATACAGAGAATGTTGTACTATAAACACATAAACAAAAATTTTATCATAAAAATGACCAGATAGATTGACTGGCACATAAATATGATTGATACACAGGCCTGTAGCCAGCTATTTCATAATGGGGGGTTCTTTTTCTGAAAAAGTGGACCTTTTACAATGTAACCTTTGTGTACCTAGATCAAATTTTACCCAGAATGGACCTTTTCCTGACAAAAAGGGTGATTCTTTGGAACTCCCTGAACCCCTCCTGGCTACGGGACTGTATACATGTCTTTTAAATCTGATCTGTATACATGACTTATTTAACAATGTCAGTTTAATTTTTCTTCTCTTTTTAAGTTATTAAGTCTTGTGGAAATAGACTTTTATCCTGACTGTGAGTTTTAAATCTAACCTTTAAACAGGTATATGTTTAACAGCTGCCATGTTAAAATACAACCTTCCTATCAAAGGCTGGTTACATTAAAAGATAAAAAAATAGCAAAAAAGGTATTTTGCAGAATCGCCCACCAAATATATGTAATAACTAAATGGTTTCTCTGGTTGTCAAAATGTAAGTACTAAGCTATAATTTTTCTTTTTCTAGAAAACACATTCAGAAAGCAATTGGGTTTGCAGTTAATGCTATCCCCATTCATTTCTGTCAAAAGTTACCTCAAAATAATGAGCCTTACATTTTCTTCGCTACATTAAAACACCACAATTGCTATTTACATCAAATCAAATGGGCCATTTCCTTGAAAAAAGTAACTAATTTCAGAGAAACTATCAGAATAATTGTGTTAAAGCTTTAACTGAGGAACTGGTAATAATATGACGTCTACTACGTTAGTGTCCATCTTAAGATAAGACCCAATGCTTGCCAGTAGTACACAAAACACTACTGATAATATTTCTGATATATATATTTCTTAGCTAATTCTTGTATTTCATTTCACAGAGTAGCAGGTCTTAGTACTTGTCAGTATCATTTTAGATGTCGACCGGTGCAAGTTTGCGTCCATTTTTTGATTAACACAAGGTGACTCTGCAAGTTTTCTGACAAAATCAACAGAAGGTAAGTGAAAAAATGAAACTATTTCTTTAATTTGTCAAGTTAAATTATGTCTCTTAACAGAGTTTTTGTGCTAAGGCTGTTTCACATACACAGATAAATTGGGGGAAGAACACTCACAGCAATGGTTGGTTAAAATAATTTATTCATAAAGATTTTATTTGATCCTTTGCAAATGCATGTTAAATGATGACCTGTGTTTCAAATTAAACCTGGGAAGGGAATCTACTGCAATATTAGACTAACTAAAACCATTATAAGAATTATACCAGAGATTATATAGGCATTTTACCCTGCAGCTCATAAAATCAATGTAAATCAATGCATCAAATGCTTTTATACATGTAACACAGCTGATATCAAAAAAAAAAAAAAAAAAAAAAAAAATTCTGGATATGGTGTATTTCGCATGCAAGGACATCATACATGAATACAAGTGACACCACACCTGAGTCTTTTTCCTGACATCTGCCGTAGCATAAGCCAGGTACACCACTTTTCAGTAAGTGTCAGGGACCACAGTATTGAAAAATTGTAATTAATATTTTCTAAATACTGTGATCCCTGACGTAATGTGTATGTGACATCCACTGGCGCCGCACTCTGTGTATATCACATACATCTCCCTGACTCATGGTGTATCTATTACATGCTGTTAACTGTTGACCTCAAGGTACCACATAATGGATACTTTCCTGATTAACAAAATAAGCCTACGGCTGGTTTCACGGTAATCAATGTAAAATTTATGTAATTACAATAAAATTTCAAACATCCCAATTTTTCTAATATTTTACATTTTCAAGATTTCACACACTCACAACATCATTCTTTTGGACACACAGCTACGTTACTTTTCAAATTTTCAAATCAATATTTTTAAAGAATTACTTAGAAAACCTTTCAGGGAAATGATTAATTTATGTTGTCTGAACTTGTTGAGTAATTACCATACCAACCCAGACCTGGATACCTCCTGATCTGCCTATTTTCAAGTGATCATCTGTATCATGTATCTGGTTTGCATACAAATGTTCTATCACTGTGAACTATCAATCTGAACTATCAATTCCCTTCTGTTAAAAAGAATTTCTTGGTATGAAAGATAATTGCAAGTAAAGCTTGTGATGAATCAGCAGTTTGCAAGTAATGTGGACTGCCAAGATTTGTGAGAGGCAATTAGCTTATTCACCTGCAAAGGTCTAAACTTACAAACATTTCAACTGTACACAAATATAAGTAAAAATACTTTTCTTGCCTCTCACTTTCATATTCTTATTTTTTTAGCCCTCCCCACATTAGAGTGAAATAATCAATCTTGGCTACAGATGTGTACAGCACATTAACTAAATCTAAACATCCATTACTAATTTAGGTATGAAAAACTTAATTAGGATGATATACTATTGCCATAATTGACAATGTAAAGCACTGCTTCACAAGCCTAGTATCTGATAAAGGATGCCAGTGAGTACCTCGGCAGCTTTCTGATACCAGCTAGCACCTAGTTTTACTCTCTCTTAAAGCAGTTCAATTTCACACCAGGTGATAGCATTGACATAAAAGACATCCCTGGCAGTGCTGAATTTGGTAAGTATGGTGTGTAACATGTGCTATGAAGGGGACCCACTGAGAGTCCTCCATGTATCGTCCTTGTACAGGATTTGTAGTAAGTAATTTGAAAGGAATCTAGTGCATGGGCATATGTGAGTGGACCTAGCACAGGATAGTATGGTATATTTTATTAAGGGCCACACCTGTGGCCTCTGTGGGTGTGACCCTGGTGTGGACCCTGAAGAATATCTTACAAAGAGGGCCACAGTGCAGAACCCAGAATGTAACATTTGCTACCAGGTAAATCCCGCTCTGTATATAGCAATAGGTGATTTTTGATAAAGGCACTTGGGGTTTATCAACTACAAAATATGTTTTTAAGCAAAAAATGCAAACAGAAAACACTGCCTCTCCTGAAGAAGAAAACATGCAAGTTCTATACAACTGTAAATAAGACAAATGAGCCTTTCAAATCCTCATCCTTCTTCTTAATTATCAATAACCTTAAAGTAGACACCTCTTTTCTATTCAACAAAAGCCAGTGCAAAAGACGGAAGTGAAAGGAAAACACACTACATCATTTTTCTATTGTATGACAGTGTTGCAAAAATGAAAGCCATTTGGAGGTATGATTGAATTTCATGGATCAATATCAATAACCATTGTATGCTGTAGCTTGGGTGATTAGAAAGTATGTTCATCGTTTTTTTTTTTAATGCACAATGGAAGTGAGTAAAAAATCTGTTTTGAAGTTATGAGATTACTTTAGTACTTTATAAAAAAAACAATCCTATATTTAGAGAAACTACATAATATGTATGTGTAGGACTTTTGGTTCTTGGCCAATATTCAATAATCTTTTAGCCTTGTGTCAGGATTAAAAGAACACACTGGTTGCCAGTAACCCATCAGGACCTCCACAAATTCAATTTCCTTCAATATCTGGGATTCTGAAGGGCAGGTATATAAAAGTACCTTTATGCCATTCTGATAGGTTTGTAAATACATGGACTGAAACCACAGTTGACCATTACCATATCAGAAAGACAATACACAAAGAAGGTAAGTAAAGTACCTGGCCAGTGGTAAAGGCAGCAGAGAGCTGAGCATATATTCTGTGTGATCAGTCTGCCATCATTTCAATGCATCTCTCTCTAATTACTGAGTGTGAATAATACAGGGGTCATACCTTATCAAGTGGAATGCAGCTATTTCTCCGTTATGTCTGTCAGCACCAGAGTATGGTGTCCCTACCACCACGTAGTCTCTGTCATACCTGAAATAAGAGTCAACAAGAGCGTCATCATCTTTCCATGGAAAAACGAGGTAAAAAAAATTTGTTTAAGCGATTTAAGTAGAGAGCTTTAATAAGAGGTGATTGTGTTCCAAATTTGTCTTCCAACAGGAAAAGGTACTTTATCTAAAAGTGGACAATTTGTGCAAATTATCAGTTACCACTAACTTTTTCTTTTACTGATTACATAATTTACTGATTATCGTACAGCTGTGTAAAATTAAAGTAAAATAACTGAAAAGTAAAACCATATTTTTAAATCTTAAGGAAATTTACTCTATGGATAATGAGAATTTCATAAAATGTTCACCATTTTGGCTTGAAAACTGCCTTTTGGTTGCCTTCTAAGACTAGAGTCATTTTGAGCTGGGTACCCTTGAAGCCTACGTCAGCCGCCATGATGGGTCTGGTAGCCAGGGCATTCAATATGGCACCTGGATAATGGTGAAAAAAAAAGATAAAAATGTAAATCTAATGAATCTATAAGCCTTTACGGTGAATTTTACTTGGAAATATGTTCAGTGTGTCACTTGAAATATAAACCAATGTTAGGCATTCAATGAAAGCTCAAATGTTAAAAAATCAAAAAATGCTTAAAAGTAAAGTTTTAGGTGCAATGTTTAGAGTGAAAAGTAATATTTATGATACTGGCCTATCTCTTACACAATGGGACAACAAAAATGAAGAATGTTATAAATTTTTCACCATTTACTCATCACAGCTATGAGTAAATATTAAATTAAAGACAATAAAAATTAATTCAAATATAAAAATAAATTAAAGACAATAAATATTAAATTAAAGACAATAAAAATTAATTCTAGGTGCTCAGTAGTTTAAAAAAATTAGAAAAAAAACCTTGGCACCCTTGCGAAGAGCAACTTAGTAGACTGTTATTGCTAATAGTGTCAGATTAGACCCAAATTTGACACAATTTTATAGTAACTGTAAATTTGCGCCATTTCAAATGAAGGCTAAGGGAGGCTTCTACAGGAAGTAATACAATCAATCTATTTCTTTCTTTTTTCTTATGAGAATGGCTTGATGGGAAATATTTATACACTGAAGTGGTTCTGCATATATACCATATACCTGTGTGTGTATGCATATGTGTGTGCCCAATACCAAAATAATTTATTTACCTTGTAATATATTGATCAGTACAGACTTAATTGCACAATGTTTGGCAACAATGTATAATATGCTTTGACAGTCTCCAACTCTCTTGGCGCAAATTAGTAAAAGACAATGCTATAAGTGTCTAAAATGACCGAAACGCATATAGTTCAAATGAGGTGTATACTGTTTCCAATCCTTCATATGTTCCATCCCAGCTAGGTAGACATCTTTAGAATATTGTCCAATACAGTAGGATTATCAGTCTCTTGTGAAATGTATATTACATTTTGAAGTGAGTTATATAAAGAACTGAAGTTGTTAAACAATAATTTTTTCATTGTGGCAAATATGGCAGGTTTGGTGCAAATTTATATTTCCTCTCGTAGTAAACAAAGTGGCAGAAACAACACTGCCAAATAACACAATAATGACTCAACTTTTTTCAGTGGGGGAAAATTGCAAATTTAATAGGTACTGAATTTTTTGACGTCATGAATTCTTAAAATTAGAACAGTCTGATTGAGTGGTAACAACAAATTGATAAGAAGGTTTTAGCTCAATTTTATACAGTAAAACACCTCAAATGCTATTGTAGATATATGTTTTCAATGATTAAAATATTTATGTATCAGGACATTTGATAATGTTGCCTGTTGAAAAGATCGATGGATGCTAGGTTATAATCCCCTTGAAATTCAGAGAAAATAACAACATGTATGACTTAGGGAAGTGTTAGTGCTCTGGAAATTGAATTAAACTTATGTTTATTTGATGTGAGACTGGAGGACTTTCAATCCCCTGAAGACAAATATATATTACAACAAAAAGCAAGGTATGAAACAATCCAATCAAACTGATTACACAATGACAGCGCATCATTATCTAATGAAACAAAAGATCAATGTAGCTCCATGTTTGTCCATTAGAATTGACAAATCAATGAGCAAATGCTTTAGCTTATAAAAAAATAACCCTTTTTAATATCCCACATAATTATACTTCATTTAAACACTTTTTGTGAAGTAACTGTCATCTAATTTTATTAAATACATTGTTAAAACAAATGTATTAATTTGGATTCTGTGGGACAATCCAACTAGTTTTAATTGAAGATAATAATAATAATTTTGCATGCAAGATTCTACAAAAAAAGATATAATATGTAGACAAATGCCTTGGAATCATTCTGAAAATGGAAGAAATGGCAAAGAACTAATCCACATAGAACTTACACAAGGTTTTGTCTGATACATTTCTTGTGTCACTATGCGTGAGTGTTTTAAATAAATGATGTACTTCTTATGATTGTTTTTTTTTCTTTCAGTATTTGAAAACAGTACAAAACTCAAATTCCTTTCACAGATAGCAGAATTCTATCAATGTACTGAAATTTTATTATTTTTTTACCTAAGTCTATATTTTTGATTAAGCAAAAGCAGGCTAGGGGACTGGAGGCATTGCTCTACTGGAAAGATCCTCCCAAATAAGTAACAACTGAGAACCATGAAATTCAATACAATATGCAATGAAAACCCAAGAGACCTGAGGAAAAGAACATACATGGGGCAATAATAAAAGCTGAGAAGTATGATATGGGACAAATGGCACATGAAAATAAAGATGTGAAATAAAGAATGGATGTCTACAAGGCAAAATGGAACACAAAAAGAACATGTAATCATGATATGAACTTGAACTTGAACGTGAACATGAGCGTAAACGCATCCAATGACATCCACTCATTGACACTCCTGTGTCTAACCCATAACTTTGCTGATTATGTGCTGTAGCTATTATGTAATTAATTTCCATTATCAGACCCTAGCAAAAATGCACAATATCAAAAGAGGCTTTTTCTGAGCCTTTTTTTTAATTGTTCCCCTGTGATTGGTGAAGCTAAGGAACAAAAGCTGTTGATGGCTTTGTGTGTTTATTCTGACTCACTGATGTATCAGCCTACCTCCAGTGGTGCCCAGATATGGACTGGTGAATACAGCATGTATGTCCTAAAATATGGGTTGAAAACTAGAGTATCTGGTGGATTCATATATATTTCAGTTTATGAACACCTTAAATATCTGCTATCCCCTGCCCAAATAAATAAATAAACAAATAATAAAAATAAATAAATAATGAAAAGGAAAGAATCTTGAAAATCAAGGGACAATTCCCAAAGATATTTGGATCGATCTATCTCCCTGGGAGCTCTCACTAAATTGCTATCAAACTAACCGACTTAGACATCTGTCATACCTAGTTAAACTGTTAAGGGGTAATTATCTTTATCCCCTAGCTGATTCAGTAGGCGTGACAGACATTAAAGCCTCTTGAGCTGATAGCAATTTAGCGTGAACCCCCTGGGAGTTAGGTCGATCCAGATGGATCGATCTAAGTATGGAAACCCAGCCCAAGTCTCTATATTATTAGGTAGATTGATGTTCTCTTTTTTTCTGGGAAAGTTGTAACATAATCATATTCTCTACTGGCAATTATTTTAAAGTTTTCACAGGTATCTGGAAACAAATTTCATTTTCAGTCACATCAAGTATCAGGAATACTATTTAAAACTGTTTTAGGTTATTACTGTACTGAGGTTTATGTAAATATTACAATATCTAATTTACTTATGACAGTCTTAATTTATTGTGCTTTATTATACTGATTAGGGATATATCCTATGTGGTGCTGAAGCCCTCATTTACTTGTACAAATATCGCTTTCAAATTTATTTGATTCAACTTATTTAAAATTACCATTAGGTCTTAATCATATCTATATCATATGGCCACTTCTCAAAGCAAATACTGAGTTCAATTTATTAATCAAAACCATACCTGAAATGACACATAGAAAGAAATCCACTCTAAAAATATTCAAGAAATTTGTACATATTACCAGGGATATTGGCAAAAATAAATAACACCAGGAAACACCACTGGAATAAATATGAAACTGCAGCTGCTTATTGATTGAAACCTTGGGTCCAAGCACCTAATTTATCCAATAGAAAAGAATGCCATTGGCTTAAAAACATGGACATCCAATTAAGATGATCAGGAAGACGGTTTCTAGTCAGTAAGAATAACAGGTGTTTTTTTTATGAATATAGGGACATAGCTTCCCTGCAGCATGCTAATAGCATATATTCAGTCAGGTAATTCATGCTTATACATATCAGGCATTGGCAAGAAGGCTCGGATCTTTCCCCAAGGTAGGTTTTCTGCCACATAAGAATATGTAATATGTATATAATGAACATTCCCAACTTCAGTCAGCACCCAGATCAATTGATAAACAATGTCTATTACTCACATTCAATTATCTATTTGAATAAGTTATGACACAAAATGCTCAACAGCATCCGTCTTTTTGATGCTAAAATCTATACAGGAGTATGTATGGCACAGTTGACACGTTTTTGTGTTTTGTCTGCAGTGCCAACAAACTGCTGTGTGTATTATGGACAGTGAATGATCTGAAAACCGTTATTGTAGTGCAAGAGAAGATGTCAATAATGCATGACTTTTACATGACTTGAACCTATTGACGTGTTCTGTAAGCACATCTTCTCATTTTACTTGAAGTGCATGGATTTAAATGAAGTACGAAGACAATACTGTGGAATGATTTTGAAGATTCTGCAGGTATTTTTCTTTTTATAGACATAAAAGGTGTTGAAAATTTACTCATTTTGTATTATTGAATATGTAGTACCTGAAATGTGAAGTAAAAGATGTAATTTAATATCTGATGAGATGAACTGATGCTGAAAGGGCACTTTTATACCCTGTATTAGGAAATTGAAAAGAGAAACAATGCAGGTTTCAATATCTGCTTTTAATCTCTCTCTCTCTCATCTGTAGAAAATTGACTGAGCAGATATTTCTGGTAAAAGATGACCATCATCTTTGTCTTGCAAGAGGTAAACTCTTGAAACACTGATTTCAGAGTGATACATGCATCTAGCAGTTAATATGATATACAAATAAAAGGGTCTTTTAAACAAAACTGGTCATACAGTGATTGGGAGCAATCATTAATTATACCCCCCCCCTTCGGCTGAGGGGCTGTGAAGGTCCTCATGGCTAAGGTGGAAACTTGTTAACAAGGCCAGGTGATATTGGAATGGGCAGGAGGTTTTGTGGGAAAAGTTAATTCAACGGGAAAATCAGTAGCTTTATATTGACCATGATAGAAGGGCGAGGGGGATTGGGGAGGGGGATTAGGGAAAATACCCTTATTAAATATGGACTCCAAGATCATTATTAAAATAATGGTTCTGGTTTTCTCTGTACCTCCACTTTAGCAGGAAATT